CTCTCCCCCCCTCTCTCCCCATCCCCCTTTTCCCCCTCTCTCCCCCCTCTCTCCCCTCTTCCCCTTCCCCCCCTTCCTTTCCCCCCCTCTCTTCCCCCCCCCCTCTCCCCCCCTCTCCCCCCCCCCCTCCCCCTTCTTTTTTTCCCCTCCCCTTTTCTCCTCCTCCCTCTCCTCCTTCCCCCCCCTCTCTCCCTTCCCTCTCCCCTTCCCCCCCTCTCTCTTTCCCCCTTTTCCCCCCCTTCCCCTTCCCCTTTCCCCCCTCTCTCCCCTCCCCCTCCCCTCTTCTCCCCCCTCCCCCTCCCTCTCCCCCCTCCTCCGCCCTTTTCCCTCCCACCCCTCCTCCCCTCCCCCCCCCCCCTCTCTCCCCCCCTCTCCCCCTCCTTCTCCCCCCTCTTCCCCCTCCTCCCCCCCTTTTCCCCCCCCAAACCCCTCTCCCCCCCCTTTTTTCCCCTTTCCCCTCTCCCCCTCCCCCCTCCCTCTCCCCAAACCCCTCTCCCCCCTCCCCTCGCCCTTTTTCCCCCCTCCTCCTTCCCCCTCTCCCCTCCCTCTTTTCCTTTCCCCCCCCCTCTCCCCCCCTCCTCTCTCCCCCTCCCCCCCCTTTTTCCCCCCTCCTTTTCTCCCCCCCTTTTCCCCCTCCCCCCTCTTTCCCCTTTCCCCCCCTCTCTCCCCCTCCTCTCTCCCCCCTCTCCCCAATTCTTTTCCCCCCTCCTTTTCTCCCCCCGGCCTCCCCCCCCTCCTCTCTTTTTCCCCCTCTTCTCCCCCTTTTCTCCCTCCCCCCCCTTCCCCCCCCCCCTCTCTCCCCCTCTCTCTTCCCCCTATCTTCCCCTTCCCCTCTCCCCCTCCTCTCCCTTTCCCCCCCCTCCCTTTTCCCCCCTCCCCCTTCTTTACCCCTCCTCTCTCCCCCTCTCCCCCCAAAACCCGCCCCCTCTCTTCCCCCCTCCCTTCCCCTTCTCCCCTCCTCTCCCCCCTTCCCCACCCCTCCCTCCCCCCTCTCTTCCCTCCTCTCTCCCCCTCTCTCCCCCTCCTCCCCTCTTTTTCCTCCCCTCGTTCCCCCCCCTCTCCCCCTCCTCTCCCCTCCTCTCTCCCCCCCTCTCTCCCCTTTCCCTCCTGCCCCTCTCCTCCTCCCCTTTTCCCCCTCCCCCCAAAAAACCCCCTCCCCCCCTCTCTCCCCCCTCTTTATTCCCCCCCCCTTTCCCCCCCTCTACTCCCCTCTCTCCCCTCCTAAAACTCCCCCCCCCCCCTCTCTCCCCTCCCCTCTCCCCTCCCCTCTTTTCCCCCCTCCCCCCTCCCCTCCTCTCTCCCCCCCTCCCCTCCCTCCCTCTCTCCCCCCCTTCTCCCCCCCTCTCTCCCCCCCTCTCCCTTGCCCCCCTCCCCCCCCCCCCCAAAAAAAAAAAAAAAAAACCCCCTCCTCTCCCCACCTCTCCCCCCCTCCTCCTCCCCCCCTCCCCCCCTTCTCTCCCCCTCTTCTTTTCCCCCCATCTCCCCTCCTTTTCCCCCCCTCTTCTCCCAAAAAAACCCCCCCTCTCTCCCCTCTTTTCCCCTCCTCCCCCACCCCCCTCCCTTTTCCCCTCTTCCCCTCCCCCTCTCCCCTCCCCTCCTCATCCACCCCTCTCCTTTTCCCCCCCCTCCCCCTCTCCTCTCTCATCCCCTCTCCCATCCTTCCCCTCCCACCCCCTCTCCCCTCCCCCCTCCCCCCTCCTCTCTTAAACCCCCCTCCCCCCCCTCCCCTTCCCCCTCTTTTCCCCCGGCCCCTCTTCCCTCCCTCTCCCCTTTTCCCCTCCCCCCCTCTCTCTCCCTTCTCCCCTCCTCCCTTTCCCCTTCTCCCCCCTCCTCCCCCCTCTCTCCGCTCCTCTCTCCCCCCCTCTCCCCCCCCTCCCCCCCTCCCCTTTCCCCCTCTCTCTCCTCCTCCTTTCCCCTCCCCCTCTCCCACCTCTCGCCCCCTACCTCTCCCCCCCTTTTCCCCCCCCTCTCTCATCCCCACCCCCCATCCCCTCTTTTCCCCACCCCTCCCCCCTCCCCCTCCTCTTTCTCCTCTTCTCTCCCCTCCCCCCTCGTCCCCTTTCCCCTTTTCCCCTCTCTCTCCCCTTCCCCCCCTCTCTTCCCTCTCCTCCCCTCCTCTCCCCCCTCTCACCTCCCCTTTTTTCCCCTCTCTCTTCCCCTTTCCCCCCCTCTCTCCTCCTCTCTCCCCTCCTCTCCCCCCCTTCCATTTCCCCCCCCTCCCCCCCCAAACCCCTCTCCCCCCTCTCTTTTCCCCTCCTCTTTTCATTCCCCCTCTCCCTCCTCTCTCCCACCTTTTCCCCCTCCCCTCCCCTCCCCCGCCTCCCTCTCCCCCTCTCTCTCCCTTCCTATCCCCCCCCCTTTCCCCTCCCCTCCTCTCTCCCCCCTCCTTCCCCTCCTTTCCCCCCTCTCTCCCCCCTCTTTCCCCTCTTCTCCTTTTCCCCCCCTCTCTCCCCCCCTCCTCTCCCCCCTCCCCCCCTCCCCCCCTCCCCCTTCCCCTCCTCCCCCACTTTTCCTCCTCTCCCCCCCCCCCCTCTTCCCCCCCTCCTCCCATTCCCCTCCCCCCTCTTTCTCCCCTCCTCTCTCCCCCCCCTCTCTCATCCCCCCCCTCTCCTCCTCTTCGGGGCCCTTCCTCCCCATTCCCTTCTCCCCCTCCTTTTCTCCCCCCCCTCTCCCCCTCCTCTCCCCCCTCTCCCCCCCTCTCTCCCCCCCTCCTCTCTCCCCCCTTTTCTCCCCCTCCTCCCCTCCCTCTCCCACCCGGGCTTTTTAATCCCCTCCTCTCCCCCTTTCCCCTTTTTCCCCTCCCCTTTCTCCCCCCCCCTCCCCTCCCCTCCTCTCTCCCCCCCCTCCTCTCTCCCCTCCTCTCTCCCTTCCTCTCTCATCCCCTCTCCCATCCCCCTTTTTCCCCTGACGTTAATTATCTACACCATTTGTCTCTGACATAACGCCAGCTGCTCTTGACCTTGTGCTCATGCGTCTCAGAGCAGCAGATGAAAGGGAGTCGTCCCCTCATGACTGGATTAACCGCTGATATGGCATGTGTGTGATCCATATAGCACCCTATTCCCTACATAGTGCACTACTTTTGACCAGATCGAGCCCTATGAACCCCTGGTCGAAAGTAGTGCACTAAATAGGGAATGGGATGCCATTTGGGACGCAGATATGGTGTGTGGCTGGGAGCATTCGGATCCTACACAGGGCCCTGTGATGACACCCCCCCATTCCCCAGCCCGTCTCCCCCCTGCTTTTTAATATGATAGAAAATACTAAATCAGCCGACATGCAAGAGTGTATTGTAGATACCATAACGTTTCATTTTTTTTTTTGGGGGGGGGGGGGGGGGGGGGGGGGGGTGAAAGTAGTGGACCAATGGCACAGTGGATCTATCTCCATAAGTACAGTATACTGAAGATTGACATGACAATAGTGCCCCTCTCTGTACGAAAGTATGCATCACACATGTTGGTCATCCCCAGCTATGAATGGCCCATGTAATTTATTTTACATGATCATGTTACATGCATCATGGAATTACATTTTACATTTTTAGTCATTTTAGCGGACGCTCTTATCCGGAGCGACTTACAGTCAGTGAGTGCGTACATTTTATATACAGGATGGATGTGCTAAAGAGGTATTTTGGACAGTCACAAATAGCCCAGATGAACAGAGCTTTATTTCAAGGGCAGACTAGAGTAGACCTGGATATTCAACTGGAGGGTGACTGTATCATTACCCTAGCAAGGTATCTGAAATGACATCAAAAAGGGTAAACAACATCAGTCCATGGTTTCTGACTGTACTGTGATAGGGGGGGGGGGGGGGGGGCAATGACTGTGGTTATTAAGATTATAGAAACTGCAATTCACAATGATATTGCAAAATTAAAGTAGTCTAGAATTATATGATTTTTGGACATGGCATTGCAAATATGCTATAGGCTAATGTTTTGGATCTGGACTATTAACATATTCATTCCCACTGGGACTATTGTCAGACGAGTTTTACATTGAGTTCAAAATAAAGACACTGCTCAAACTGACTGTGCTGTTGGCCTCTGTGTGTGATGACAACCAATGATCCACATTCTCTAAGTGTTCTCCTGGGATATTGTGCAAACACAAATTACGATTTGTGTATGAAAATGTATGCACTCACTAACGGTAAGTCGCTCTGGATAAGAGCGTCCGCTAAATGACTAAAAATATAAAATGTAAAATGTGTTGTTGCTTCTGTAACAACAGGGGCCAAGTACTGTATGTTCCACAAACCAGAATGGAATAGAATAGGGGAAACTGTAGCACTAGAATCCAAGCTTAGCAGAGACACAGACCTGCAGACACAGAAGCCTCGCATTTAGGCAACTATTACAGCGTGTCTGATGAAGAACTGGCTTGTGCCGGGGTATGAATGAGCAGGAGATCCACTCCACACAGCTAGGTCTTTGTGTAAAACTATCATGGTTATAAGCACGTGATAAAAGCAATGGCATTTTCTAGATTTGGTGATCCAAGTGTTAAATGGATTATTCACGAATCAGGGGATCAGAGACCCTCCTCCCTCCATCCCTCAATGTTCTTAGAGGCCATTTTATACAGGAAATCGCATGAGAACAGGCACCACGCAGATTCACAGTTCATCGAATTCATCTCTTTATACGCGGTAAGTAAGTTACAGTATGCATGGCTTTTGGTGCTATAAGTGCTCCATCGTGTGAAGATCCGTTTATTTGTTCATGTTGATGAGGGACTTTGTACAGATCTTTCTGATAATGTTGCAGCCATAGGATATAATGGTACAAAATATCATTGTTTGAATGGATTTGGATGACAAGTCTACAATTCAAGAGTGTCTTGCTCAAAGGAAATTTTTGTTAAATTGCAGACCACTTGTAGTTCCTGATGTTTTATTCGTTGGAGGGGTTTTAGCACATGAGTGGTCACGTGCACGCGCTTATTATTCATTTGACCTGGCACTTTGTAATATAAGCGCAATTTTATTTATTGTTCGTTCATGTGTATGCATTATATTTAGGGTGCGCCCCTATATTACAGCTTCGCGGTAACTATAGCAAACAAGGAAACAGCTTGTTACAAGGGTAGAAGTCCTTGATCTGTCAAACGGTCAATGAATAAGCGAGGAGAAACATTGTTACAATGTCTTTTCACAGTGTATCCAGAGAAGCATTGATCGGATCCGCTACACTTGGAGTTGTCTTTGTGGCTGGTTATTACATTGGTAAGGGGGGTAGAATCAGCGTGCCTGCTTCTTATCAATATCATGACATGTCAAGATGACGTTGAACAGTCGGATATGACAGAGTCATCGTGTATGGTTTCCCCATTATTGTTCAATTATCAAACACTTAAACCACAGCATCTATACCATATTGCCATCTTGAGATACTCATCAGTTGACATGATTGCTCCCTCCAGGCAAAAGAAGATCCACATTTTCCATGGACATCTTCAAGAGTCACTCTGGGGCAAAAGATAACCCCTTGATGCAGTATGTCCTCAATCATTCAATGAGGGAGCATCCGGCGCTGAAAAAACTCAGACTGGTAAGAAGATCCGGATTTACAGAAGTCTTCATTATCAAATATGTTCCTAAATTAGATTTGCCGAACGCTAGAAACTGTCCAAAGTCTAAATTGGATGTGTTTTTGCACCATTTACTATGTTGCACAAGTGTCTGGGTCTGAGACTTGTAAATATAAATGTACACTTAATAAACAACCTGTTTTATGACGTTAACAAAACATTAACATCTCCTTTTCTTCTGTTTCATCTTCCAGAGGACCATGGATGATTCCTGGAACTTCATCATGGTTGCAGCTGAGCAATCTCAGCTGATGGCTAACCTGGCAAGACTCATCAAAGCCAAGAAAGCTATAGAAATCGGTAAATATTATTCACATTATACTCTGTATCACATTTAATCATCTCTTCTCACACTAGTTGCTATAGCCTACCATTTTATTTGATGTTTCTATCACAACCAATAGCATAGTGTAATGCTATTCCATATAGGCTTGCAAAAATAAATACTGTTGTTTTATGTAACACATTTACCGTATACGAGTCTCATAATGCTCGTTTTATTTATCTTCCCTGTAGGCGTGTACACAGGGTACAATACTCTGAGCATAGCGCTGGTTTTGCCAGACGACGGGAAGATGGTGGCCTGTGACATCAAAGACGAATACCCCAACATCGGCAAACCCTTCTGGAAAGAGGTGAAATGTGGATTGTGTTTTGCTTTTCTGACATGCCAGTGCTACGCGATCAACTGTGCACTTAACTCTTTTAGACAGGCGTTTGGAGAGCTGGCAGGATCGTTTGATTGTCTATATGTCATCTCTCACACCATTGTAGTGATTCTGGCGTGTGCAGGCCAGACATGGGTATGTTTTGTAAGGGATAGCACCACTGACTACTGGGCTTGTCAAACTCCTTCACTCATTACATTCTGAAACTACTTTATTCACATTAGCCTGGTCCCAGATCTGTTTGTGCTCTTGCCAGCTCCTTTGCTGAAAATTGTCAAGCCGAACGTTGGCATGACAATGAGTGAAGGAGTTGGCACGACAATGAGTGAAGGAGTTGGCACGACAATGAGTGAAGGAGTTGGCACGACAATGAGTGAAGGAGTTGGCACGATGGCACAAACAGATCTGACACACAAGCTACATTTGCATGGCATCTGAAAAGCCATCTCACTGTGATAAGAACTGCACACTTGTCATGGTTGCTGCTGCTTTTATTGAGCTAAGATACCAAAACACTCTATGGTATGAAACCAAGACTCACCTTTTAAGTTAATCGTTTATCCCATAGCGGTCAACCTGTAGATGTATAGTATATTGCTGATATTCTGGACTTTACAAAAACAGATAAACTCAGACTTGCTTTTTTTCACAGTCCCTCCTCAAAATCAATTCAAACTTTGAGAGACTGGCTGTGGTTGTGTGATAGATTGATGGGAATGTGATGTGAAAGTCATGTGATCCATCATAGAGAGAGCCTGTCAGAGCATCCATTACCAACGGTCTCACCTGATGACAGAAGTTCTTATCAGTACTTCCACCTTCAAGAAAAGCCCTTCTTGTCGACATTGTAAGCAGAGTACAAAATTGGTGTCAGAAAAAGTCATGTGTAACCATGCACTGTATTATATAACTCAACCATCAGATCTTTCTCAACAGGCTGGAGTGGAGAATAAAATAGATCTACGGATCCAGCCGGCGTTGGAAACTCTTGGTATAGTAACACGTTAGTAACAGATCCATTATCAGCAGTAGATAATGAACAAATGTATTCACACTCACTCACTCTTCCTCAGATGACCTCCTGGCCAATGGCGAGGCCGAGACATTCGACTTCGTCTTCATCGATGCAGACAAAGCAAACTACGACAACTACTACGAAAAATCCCTCCAGCTAGTGAGAAAAGGAGGGATTATTGCCATTGATAACGTGAGTGTTTCAGTATGACGACTGTAGCCTAGTCATTTGTAGGGTGTTGGCCATGATGCATAGTTCATGTTACCGCAACAGTAATTCCAGCACCCAGAACCAAATTAACATCTGTCAAAAGAGACTACCACAGCAGTTAATCTCAAATCACATGGACAGCCGTAAGCAATTTATTTTTTAAAGGTTAGAATGATTATTTTAATTAATTTAATTTTTAATTTTTTGTCATTTAGCAGACGCTCTTATCCAGAGCGACTTACAGGAGCAATTAGGGTTAAGTGCCTTGCTCAAGGGCACATCGACAGATTTTTCACCTAGTCGGCTCAGGGATTAGAACCAGTGACCCTTCGGTTACTGGCACAACGCCCTTAACCACTAAGCTACCTGATGCTGCTGCTCCTCCGTGCTTTTAGGTTCTGTGGAGTGGGAAGGTGGTGAACCCTGCATCTGATGACATAGACACCCAGGCAATTGACAAGCTGAACAAGAAGTTGTACCGGGATGTCAGGATCAACATCAGCATGCTCACTGTGGGAGATGGGTTAACGCTGGCCTTCAAACTGTAACACTATGTAGGAGACAGGTCCTAACTGTAGGACTACATGGGAAATTGGCCAACACTGGCCTCTACTGTAGAATGTAATTAGTAAGAAGTAGCTTTGCGTTATGATAATCAGATAGTACTTGCCATCTTTTTGGTACAAGTGCTGACTTTTCAAATTGTTGTTTATGTCATTAAATCCATTAGTGTAATGCTGCCACTGAATATCTGTGACCTGAAGGTTTAAATGCTGCCACTGAATATCTGTGACCTGAAGGTTTAAATGCTGCCACTGAATATCTGTGACCTGAAGGTTTAAATGCTGCCACTGAATATCTGTGACCTGAAGAGGTTTAAATGCTGCCACTGAATATCTGTGACCTGAAGGTTTAAATGCTGCCACTGAATATCTGTGACCTGAAGAGGTTTAAATGCTGCCACTGAATATATGTGACCTGAAGGTTTAAATGCTGCCACTGAATATCTGTGACCTGAAGAGGTTTAAATACTGCCACTGAATATCTGTGACCTGAAGGTTTAAATGCTGCCACTGAATATCTGTGACCTGAAGAGGTTTAAATGCTGCCACTGAATATCTGTGACCTGAAGGTTTAAATGCTGCCACTGAATATCTGTGACCTGAAGAGGTTTAAATGCTGCCACTGAATATCTGTGACCTGAAGGTTTAAATGCTGCCACTGAATATCTGTGACCTGAAGAGGTTTAAATGCTGCCACTGAATATCTGTGACCTGAAGGTTTAAATGCTGCCACTGAATATCTGTGACCTGAAGAGGTTTAAATACTGCCACTGAATATCTGTGACCTGAAGGTTTAAATGCTGCCACTGAATATCTGTGACCTGAAGGTTTAAATGCTGCCACTGAATATCTGTGACCTGAAGAGGTTTAAATGCTGCCACTGAATATCTGTGACCTGAAGAGGTTTAAATGCTGCCACTGAATATCTGTGACCTGAAGAGGTTTAAATGCTTTTTGCCAACCGTTACTTTAGACAAAATCAAGACTTAAATATTCTTGTAATGTTTTTTGTCTGGAAAATCTTAAATTACAGCTTAATTTTAGAAATAACCAAAGTAATATATGGGTAATGCTTACAGTTATACACATTGTACTCAGGTGAGTCATACTTTCACTGTATACATGTTTGTTTTTAAATGTTCATTATGGTTGAGCTGTACATTAAATTGTAAAACAAGTGACTTGTTGCCATGTAGTTTCACGTTGTCCAACCGTGTGAAGACGCCATGATATATCCAGGAACCAAGGACTGACTTGTTTAAAAGACTTTATTGTAAAGGTAGACGTGGACTTGGTTTCTGGTTTCCCAGTCATATCATTTATACACAGCTAGGGGAAGGGGAGGTGGAGGATACGCTCAGTTATAATAGTTTCCCTTCTCCTTTCTAATCACACCCAGAAAATCCCATTTGGCAATGTCGTGCAATTTATACTACCATGTTCAACTAGGAAACAGGTTAGTTAATCAATATCGTAAGGATCTGACCGCAGGGTGGGTGGCAAAGCAATAAGCATAATTTATTAACATGTCCTCAAGAATATTAGCTAAATAGATCTCATCACCAAATAGAATAGACGTTTAAGGTCTCTAGAATACGTGATGAACATTCTGAGTAGGAGCCGCCCTGACAACAGGCAAAGCATTGCTAACCGAAGGCTACTATATGTGCAAATGAAACAGGGAAAGATAAGACATAAATAAAAAGGTATAATATAATTTGCTAGTGTGCAAAACAACAACAGTTCAGGATTGTCACATAATGACAACATAATAACATTGTCATTATATATAATTAAATCAAAGAATACATCTTAATATAACCCTTCTCGGATTGTCCCATCCAATGAGCCAAACCGATAAAACAAATGTAAAACATGCAGAATGAACGCTCTCTTTGAGAAGGAGGATGTTTTTCACTAGTGGTACAGCACAGTATAGGAATACATAAGACTTAGTAGTACTGCGCTACTGTCATAGTACACACAGAATGACGGACTACAAACCAACAAAGGAAATGGCAGTGGCTGATGGGTTGGGGATCCATCTGACAGAACTGAGGGTTATGTTGTGTATATTGATGCTTTAGATTAATCTCATTCCTTTGAGACATCCCTTACCGGTTGTTGGGCTGGAAATACCTAAGGCCAAATTCTTCTGATATTCCCTCAAATATTAAATATGAAGACTTCACTAGAAAGGACAGCTAGATACTTATGCCTCCAGCTCCAGGCCCAGGCCCAGTTTGTGGCCACCGGCGTTGATGCTTTTGCCATCGACCAGTGCAGACAGGATAAGTTTCATACCTGCAGAACAGGAAAAAATAAATAACTTAGCTACAACAGCCCACTTTGGAGATGGCTGGCAGTGCTTTTGCAAAGTAGTGAGAGACAGTTCTTACCTGGCCGCAGTGTCTGGTTATAGCCAACTCCCACCAAACTAGCATTGTTAACTTTAACCTGGAAAATATAACAAACACATACAATTAACAATAGTATACAACGGGTTATGATCGTTATTGGCATTGCATTACAAAAACGTCACTTTATTGTCCAGTTACTTCCTAAAATATCTCCTTTGACACAGCCCATTCCCATTTAATAAACTACTAATCCCGCAGAACCAGTCTCTGAATATTGAACACACAAGACTAATAAACAAGACAACCAGAAAAGCAGCACTCACAGATATCGAGGCACTGGAGTCCAGCTGATACTTGGCAGCGATGCCAAAGCGGGTGCTGTTGCTGCCTGCTGTCCAGGCCAGGTTCACAGCAGTCTCCAGCTGGTCATTCACCTTCTGGTAGATGGACCCTCCAAACTCTGTGCCATCATTACTGGGATGTAGGACATAAACAGACATACATTGTGCTATCCTTGTCCGATGAACAGCTCTTTATTTAATAATAACTCAACTAAAAGATGAACTGAAATGCTCAAAATCAACCTACAACTTGTTATTAAAAATCGATGTAACTTGCCAAGACCATCATCTTTCTAATAGAAACATTCACACTTTACTGCTGAGATATAAGTCCATCCAAAATACAATAGATATGAAGCTTACACATTGGTGTGCAGCTGGAAATCATCCGTCTTGTAGCCAACAGCGAAGTTGCTCTGGGTCATTTTGGACTTGGCCGTGTCGAAGGTCATCTGGTAGCCAGCCAGCCATCCCTCGTATCCGGTCACCGCTGCACCGTGGATGGCCGGGCCGGCAAAGTCAAAGTCTACATCTACGCCCAAGTTGACGTATTCACGCTTATAGGCAGTCTTCACCTTCCCACTCTTCTTGCTGTTACAGAGAGAACAGATGGGGAAAATAGGATGAATAAACATCATTCTGATATTTCTGTTGTTCTAGTTCAGTCATCACTGATTATTTTCAATAAAAGGAAGGTTGGTGGTGGGTTATGCAGTGCCGAACGTGCACAATAAATGTTATCCACTCCAGGGTCTCAAGACTGGTGAGAAACATTAAATGATGCTTGAAAAAAAATTTATAGCCACAAACCGTACCCAGAATTTGGTGAGAATTGGGTGTCGAACGTAAGTTTCAGTCCTTTGGTGATCTATGGAAGAAGAAAAAAAATTAAACAACTGAATAGAAAGCTGACAAATGACAGTATAGACTGGTGTCTCCCCTCTACCTGGTCTTCAACAGTGATCTCAGTCCCCAGAGTGTTGTCTGTTGTCCACTTCTCTGTAAACGTCAGGCCGTATTCACCCCATTTGTACTTGGTCTCCAGGTTGCCATTGACTTTGCTGGTGTCAGTGTTGGACGAGCCAGAGGTTTTGAATTCCTAAATAACAATCATGACAGACAGTGAGCCTATATCTTGTTATGGAGGGCCAGAATGTACAGTAACTGTGGCATGATTGAAAAGCCAAACTCACCACTCCACTTGAAGACTTGGTCTTGACGTCAAGTTTCACCAATCCAAAACCTAATAAAGAACAAACCATAACATTCAGAACACCATATGTTCCTTTGCATATTAAGGGAGCGGTGTTAACCTGTTTTTGATTAGCATCTCCTTAACATTTAAATACTTTCCAAATGGACCACTACATGGAGAATACTGATCCATACGGACAATTGTGACTTGGCTTGAACAAATTGAATGCCTGGTTGTTATTATGTTAACATACTTGTAAAATGTCCTGTCAGTGTGAAATGTGTTCTGTGGATTGATGGAAACGTTCCCTTACGGGTGTAAGAGAGGCCAAAGCAAAGTGATGCTGAACGTTTAAGTTGTCAGAAAAGGCCCCTGTTACGTAAATGTCGATGTTTGTCATGCTCATCATTCCTACAGGGGTAAACCAACCAGTTTTGAAGACATTTACCATATCCTTTGTTGAAGATGTCCTTTGCAGATTTACCAAGATCACCATATGATGGAGGGACAGCCATTCTACCTGTGACAAGTAGGAAAATGGCAGATGATAAATTCAGCTATCATAGTACTACTGACTGAGTTCAGCATGTAGACTTTTGCAGCAAATGTAGGACAAAGATTATTTTGCCACAAAGAGATAGTCCTAACATGCATGTTGTTCGCTATTGATTGACTAGTAGCAGTGTCCTCCACCACCAAGTAAATGATCAGATAATAGGGAATGTATGGATCATCTCCTCATAGGACTGTGAACACAGTTGAAGGGATATGGCCAGGCCTACACAACCACCTCTACACATGTCAAGCTTTGAAGAACAAGGTTATCTGTAAGCAGCCATCTTGACGTCGATATTAGCACGTCAATGCCGCTGCCAAGTCTCAAGTTGTTTGCTTGCCTAGTTAGCTACAGTAGATCATTACAATGTGCAATATCAATGTGACTGGCGGCTGGTTCAATGAAAGTCAACTTAGCTAGCTAGTAGCTGTTAGCAAAATAGCTAGCCGGCAAGCAAGTTAACAAGCCATTACATCACAGACAGGGATTTGCTCACAGCAGCAATCTGTTTCTTCAACTTGAACTCGACAGTAAGAAGACGCAGTTAGCTAGGTAGCTAGGCAATGGCACATCATCTTTCCACCTCGAATAAAAAGTCAAAATGTAGTTAGCTATAGTTAATGTCAAAGATCGGGACATGTATTTACCCTTGACAATGGACTAACGTTAGCTATCTGGCTACAGAGTTCCCTGCGCTGAATCCCGGCCATGTCCCCTACCTAGCTAGCTAACGTTTAGCTAGTTAGCTGGCTAGCAAGGTTCGCCAGCTACCTAGCAATCAGTTACCTAATTAGCTAGCTAACAAAGCTATGGACATTACTTACTGGAAGTTTTGCAGGACTTCGCTTCAGTTGCTTGGAGCTTTGCGTTGGTTCGTTGTTTTCAGGCTGTTTCTAACACCGCGTCGCGACAGTCCTGTCCAGTTGGAGGGCGATGAAGGAGAAACGCAAACGCAAAACCTCACATGACCTCAGGATCGCAGGACCCTGTAAATGTAGGTGTTCGTTTCTTTGCCTGTCTAAATCATAGTAGGATGACTTTGAGTTCTGGGTTTAATTGAGTATTTCTATGTCCATATATAATAATTTAGTTAATACAAGACTGAAACACTTAAATATTTGTGTATTTATTAATGTAATACAATTGTCTTCACAAATAATATCTGGCAACTGGAAGCCGTCTTTATCACCATAGCAACCACGGTGCTTGGCCTAACATGATAGATCTAGCAGTCAGCTTTTCTCTGTACAGTTTCAGGAGGTTTGTATTTAGTTGACAGCTGGATTAGCTACTATAACCGGGGCTGTCAGAAACACTTCAAGAAACCGTAACTAGATAGCTAAACTAGAATAATTCTGCATGGTAAGGAATTATACTAACTGAGCTGTGATCACAAATAAAATACAAATATTTGCTGAGCTGATAACTGCTGCTAGCCGAAGGCTGCAGTGTGGCTGAAGAATGGGTTGGAGAAATCTTTTGGTGGTCAAAACAGAAACAGGTGGTCTAGCTAACTAAACAGTAAAAACTGAATCAGCACTTTGACCGTCAGAGGACTTGACCTGAAGTGGTACTAACTAAGCTAATAAGATCAGGCCGAACACACATGCTGGTTTTCCATAGCAGACAGACCCGACATGTAAACTCAGTAATAGGTTAAATCCACGCTTAGACACTGGACCTCAGACACAGTGGGAACCATGGCCATCAACTGGGGGGGCCATCAACTGCTCAGGATAGCTCTGAGCCGATTCCCAGAATCCGCTTAAATCCACTGCACTCTGGCGCTATCTCGTGCAGATGTGTCACCATGTCCTCTAACCGTGTGGCTAACTGAATTCCATTCTTGCACACACACAGGGCGACTTTTCACTAGGTACACATCTAGGATCAGCTTCCCCTCCTCAAAACTAACTTGAACCATTCATTGATTTCAACTGTTTAATGATGGTAAAGACACGTCATTTGCAGGACATTAATCAATTAACCCAATACAAGCACACTTTGTGTGATTGCAACATTTCCATTACAATGGTAGCCAATTACTGCATCTCGAAGGTATGTAACGTACCATTATAACCATACCAGTGATAAGGATTAGTAACAATTTATAGAGGGGGTTAAAAGTGACAAGAACAAATGCATAATTCTCCTGAACGTATCTAAAAACATTTTGCAGCAAATTATAGATTTGCAGTTAGCACGAGCTAGCATTAGTCAAGCCAAAATATTGATGCAATACTTTATTAGGACCTCTGGAATTATGGGTGGGGGGGGGGGGTTTATGGGTGGGGGGGGGGGTATGTAAGGTCTCTAGGTCTAGTAGAACCAATAACTATTCCGCAGCTGAAATTCCAAATAAAACATGGGATGGAGATGGGACTTAACCCACTGGACACGAACTGGTTGAATCAACATGGATTATTATTTTTAATGACGTATTAACAAATGTGATGACGATGAATCAAGGTGGAAAACTGATTAGTTTCGCAAAAAGTCATCAACATAAAAATGAATTTGGCGAATTTGCAATTTTTTTCAAATAAATCCAATGACGGTTCAAATCTAATTATTTACATTGAGTTGTCAACTAACGTGATTTCAATCAAATGTAGGATACATTTAAACTAGACGTTGAACAGACGTCTTTGCCAAGTGGGAAGTAATACTTAAAATTGTTTTACAAAAGTGGGTTGTAACCAATACCATTAATGGCTGTCTGATTTAAGTGCCTGGGGGGGGGGTTTGCATTTGTTTTAATGATTTGGCTGAGGGTGATTCTGAAATCAATCCTATACATAAAAGCACATTGTGTTTTAAACAAATATAGTTCCGTACAACTGTAAACATATTCCTGTTCAAGTGCAATAACCTTTCTGTATATCATCATAGATATAAAATAAAAATATATATGCTATTGACATATACAAAATGAAATAAATTAAGATAGTCCAAGGGATCTGTAGAAGAAGGAAAACTATTATTTTGTAAGGATTTATATCCTTGTATGTTATTCTTATTATTGTGAAGCCTGGTCATTTACTAAACAACAATATTCAACATTTGAGATATGCATTTCCATAAAGACAATGTTACTATAACACCTAAAGTTATTGGCAAATGGAATGATATTGAAAACGATTGTTCACCATTTTCCATTCCATAGTTTTGGCTGCTTTTTGCGATCTCCTTGGTAACAGCCCCGTTTACGGCTAGGTCTAGTTCGGAAAAGGCAGGATAATAACTGAACAATACAAATATTATAAAGGAAACCAAAATACATTATATATACACACACGTATGTGGATACCCCTTCAAATTAGTGGATTCGGCTATTTCAGCCACACCCGTTGCTGACAGGTGTATAAAATCAAGCACACAGCCATGCAATCTCGATAGACAAACATTGGCAGTAGAATGGCCTTATTGATGAGCTCAGTGACTTTGAACGTGGCACAGTCCTAGGATGCCACCTTTCCAACAAACCAGAACTTTAAAATTTCCGCCCTGCTAGAGCTGCCCCGGTCAACTGTAAGTGAGGTTATTGTGAAGTGGAAACATCTAGGAGCAACAACGGCTCCGCCGCAAAGTGGTAGGCCACACAAGCTCACAGAACGGGACCGCCGAGTGCTGAAGTGCGTAAAAAAAAGAAGTCTGTCCTCAGTTGCAACACTGGTTCTGGCTAGGCCCCTTAGTTGCAGTGAAGGGAAATCTTAACGCAACAGCATACAATGACATTCTAGACGATTCTGTGATTCCAACTTGGTGGCAACAGTTTGGGGAAGGCCCTTTCAGCATGACAATGCCCCCGTGCACAAAGCGAGGTCCATACAGAAATGGTTTGTAGAGATTGGTGTGGAAGAACTTGACTGGCCTGCACAGAGCCCTGACCTCAACCCCACTGAACAGCTTTGGGATGAATTGGAACGCCGACGGCGAGCAAGGCCTAATCGCACAACATCAGTGCCCGACCTCACTAATGCTCGTGGCTGAATGGATGCAAGTCCCCGCAGCAATGTTCCAACATCTAGTGGAAAGCCTTCCCAGAAGAGTGGAGGCTGTTATAGCAGCAAAGGGGGGGAACCAACTCCATATTAACGCCCATGATTTTGGAATGAGCTGTTCGACGAGCAGATGTCCACATACTTTTGGCCATGTAGCGTAGTTCATTTCAACATGACTAATTCAGCATTCTAGTAATACAGTCAAAACCCCAGTAGTGTCTTAAGGAATGCAGAAGCTTTTCACACTACCTAAAGTAATAAAAGGCAAACAAGTAACAAGACCTGTCGCAACATCTTTAACTTAGATGTTGCTATACAGAAATTCAGGAACAGTATCATCTGTGACGTTTTGAAAATTGCTTTTAAAAGGTGGTCTATACCTGTATTAGAGCCAGAGTTCAGATAAAACAACGTCAATAATATCATACCCCGATTTCTCAGGCTATCTAATGAACACATAAGAGCTTTTTTCACTGTAATACTGTTGAATTTTAGATGAACAAATTGTACGGACTTAAAAATAAAGTGTTTTTGGTTACAATAGGCTGCCTGAGAATTCTGCTTTCATGTTTTCCCCAAACCTCTAGCTTGCTATCACCTTCAATGTTCTCTCAGACTGCAAGTTAAGAGATTTTAAGCATTGAAATGCTAGCCTGGCATTAGCATGTCTGTTTGTGCTTTAGCCAACTCCTCTGTTGAGTTTGTTGTCATGCCATAAACAAGATTGTAAAGGCATGACAAGAGATGAGGCGTTGGCTAAAGCACTTACATCACATCTGTAACCAGGTTATTGATCGTGGCAAAAGGTGGGGGCGGCAGGTAGCTTAGTGGTTAAGAGCGTAGTGCCAGTAAACGAAAGGTCGCTGGTTCTAATCCCCGAGCCGGCTAGGTGAAAAATCTGTCGATGTGCCCTTGAGCAAGGCACTTAACCCTAATTGCTCCTGTAAGTCGCTCTGGATAAGAGCTTCTGCTAAATGACTAAAATGTAAAATGTGTGGGAAATATCTTCAGAAATCTCATCGCTATTCAAAGGAAGTGGAGAGGATAGGATGATTCTTTAGTATGTATCCAAAATGGCACCCTATTCCCTATGTAGTGCATTACTTTTGACGAGAGGCCATAGGGCTCTGGTCAAAAGTAGTGCACTATAAAGGGAATAGGGTGCCATTTTGGATACATCCTTAGTTTAATCCCTTTCAACAGGCTGCTGTTGGACAAACATTTACATTTACGTCATTTAGCAGACTCTCTTATCGAGAGCGACTTACAAATTGGTGCATTCACCTTATAGCCAGTGGGACGCCAGCCAAACGCTATGTCACAGAAATATGAGTAGTCAAGTCTCTCAGGTACCCTGTCACACCATGGCACCGATAGGATCCTACAAGCCATCTCAGTTAGCAGTCTCTGCAGATATTGGAATAATAAAGTCAATATCACACAACCACAGTTTGCAACTCCTTGGAGAGGGCAGCATACTGAACAGTAGTGTCGACTGGAAGAGATCAACGTCCTCTACCACCTAGTACCCAATCATGCTCCTGATCATGGCGGGTTTGGAGAAGGGCCAGCCGTACTCATTGGGCACGGGGCCGTTGACGTTGCATTCGAAGAAGGAGAACATGGGGAACCAGATGCGGGCCCTGCGACTCTGCTGGTACGCCCTGGTGTTAGCCAGCGTGTGGTAGTACAGGAACAGCCTGGTGGTGATGTAGAAGGCTATGAAGACGTCGATGGAGTAGTGCTCATGGGCCGCCAGGATGAAGAAGATGCCAAACAAGTTCAGGACCCAGGACAAGGTGTGGATGAAATTCCAACCCCTCGGGGTGTCTGTTAGTGAATACATACAAGCAGAACATTGAATAATGGGTTTGGATGGTTTTGAATTTCAGTTATGTTCTGTTCAAATCAGGAAGTGAATGACAACTTCAGAGATCCTGCTCTCAGTGTATGCTGTAGAATTATACAACAGTTTAAAGCTGTCGGTGGTCTGGTCTTGATGACCTTTATGCAGTTATAGCTGATGGACACACAATGTACATAAGTTCTTCCCACTACAGTCAATTACATCTTACCAGGGGACAGTAACAATACGATTATAGGGAACGCTTACATTCTGTCACAAAGAAGTTGAGCATGGTGATTACCACCGTGTGACCGCTGAACATGTAGTCCCCACATGTATGGACACCTGTGAGGGACATTCCAAATCCACTCCATATGGCCAGAGCTCGATGCAGTTTGGCCCACATATCACCATACATCTAGGGGAAAGAGAAGGAAAGAGTCACTATTGATATTCTAGCCTGTTGTGAGACGTGAAAATTGCCACCCATAGTCTGCGTACAGCAGGGGTGTCAAACAAATTTCCCCCCGCGGGCCGCATTCAGTGTTCACCGAGGTCCAGAGGGCCGCACTTAAAATTGGTTTCATTTCCTCGCTGTCAATTTGCAAAAGATGGTCATATCCATCGCTTTTGAAATTTGCGATGCTCCCCGACTGTCTAGATTACTGTTATCAAACTGGACAGAGTAAAGAGACTATAGATTACTGTTAGCAAGCTGGACAGAGTAAAAATACTATAGATTACTGTTATCAAACTGGACAGAGTAAAGAGACTATAGATTACTGTTATCAAACTGGACATAGTAAAGAGACTATAGATTACTGTTATCAAACTGGACAGAGTAAAGAGACTATAGATTACTGTTATCAAACTGGACATAGTAAAGAGACTATAGATTACTGTTATCAAACTGGACAGAGTAAAGAGACTATAGATTACTGTTATCAAACTGGACAGAGTAAAGAGACTATAGATTACTGTTATCAAACTGGACATAGTAAAGAGACTATAGATTACTGTTATCAAACTGGACATAGTAAAGAGACTATAGATTACTGTTATCAAACTGGACATAGTAAAGAGACTATAGATTACTGTTATCAAACTGGACAGAGTAAAGAGACTATAGATTACTGTTATCAAACTGGACATAGTAAAGAGACTATAGATTACTGTTATCAAACTGGACATAGTAAAGAGACTATAGATTACTGTTATCAAACTGGACAGAGTAAAGAGACTAGATTACTGTTATCAAACTGGACAGAGTAAAGAGACTATAGATTACTGTTATCAAACTGGACAGAGTAAAGAGACTATAGATTACTGTTATCAAACTGGACAGAGTAAAGAGACTAGATTACTGTTATCAAACTGGACAGAGTAAAGAGACTATAGATTACTGTTATCAAACTGGACAGAGTAAAGAGACTAGATTACTGTTATCAAACTGGACAGAGTAAAGAGACTATAGATTACTGTTATCAAACTGGACAGAGTAAAGAGACTATAGATTACTGTTATCAAACTGGACAGAGTAAAGAGACTACAGATGTAGGTCCATTGTCATTTCTACACAGTTTTGATTTAGTTAGATAGTGTGTGTGTGTGTGTGGAGCTGTGGTACCTTTCCTGAGCACTGCAGGTGCTGTCCTGGCACTGATAGGGAGGTCACAAACATGGTGATGCAACGCAGCATGAACACTGTCCCCATGAGGCTGCACAGGCGCCGCAGCAGAATCGACCTTCAGCAGAGCAAACATTACACACATTAACGCAACTTCAATAAGTAGGCCAATGGTTTTCAGACCTCTCCTCAGGGACCCCCCCCAGAAGTTTCACCATTTTGTTGTAGCCTTGAACTAGCTCACCTGATTGAAGTAGTCAAAATGCTTAATGATTAGACGACAAGCTGAATGAGGCTTGCGAGCTCTGGAATAGTTGAAATACATGAAACGGCTGTGGTTTCTTGAGGAGAAGCTTGAAAACCCCTGGGCTAGGCTAATCTACACTTCTACTATTCTATTCAGGGAGAAATTCTAGACACTAGCTTAAATCACGTCTAGGCTGTGTGATGAACGGGTTTTCCTATGGACCAGGCAGTCCGTACTCTACCTGTGATGAACGGGTTTTCCTATGGACCAGGCAGTCCGTACTCTACCTGTGATGAACAGGTTTTCCTATGGACCAGGCAGTCCGTACTCTACCTGTGATGAACAGGTTTTCCTATGGACCAGGCAGTCCGTACTCTACCTGTGCTTGTGCAGCAGCAGAACTAGCAGCCAGATATTACACAGGATCAGTCCACATGCCTCTGCCATGGCAAAGGCCCATGGTATTCTAGGTACACTGTTAAAAGAAAGAAATGGTTACAGGCTGATCTTCAAGCTGTCTGCTCCTGAGCACTGTGGGTTATTCTCCCAGGCTTAGCGAACTTTATTTAAAAAAGTGTCACTGAAGCAACAGATGGGGCCTAATAGCCAATAACCTGACTAAACGTATTACCCTATATTCAACTTTACTTAACTGGAACAAACTAAAAACAGCCTAGTAGATTTCTATCAAAATAAAAAGGATAAACCAGTGCAACTGGGATAACACACCTGACAAACCTGCATTAGGTTCTCACAAAAGGCTAACCCTTTCGCTATTTCACTATACCGTGTCTCGATGTCAACCTCTAGTCCTGCTAGACCATAAACACAGGGAGTCTAGAGAGCTACGTTTAGCCTAGTTGCTGCTTACTCATTTTGCCTACAGTAATCTGCTACGTTATCACACCATGAGTAAGTCGGACTCAGCACTCAGTGAGAACAAGCCGGACATTCAAGTGCCGCCCAATGGAGGTCATCATGAACAAAATGTCGAGCAATCTACTGAAAGTAGTACAATCAAAGAACAGTTAATGGCAGGGCATGCTATTGAGATTCAGAATAGGCTATGGTTACATATCAACTGGCACCCTATTCCCTATATAGTGCACTACTTTTGATCAGGGCCCATAGAGTAGTAGTACACTTCATGGGAGCCATACCCTAGTATGCTCCTTCACTATGTCAGGCCTATAATACACAGTTGTTATCCGAAAGTAGGGCAATTATCACAATGTCCATCCAGACTGATTTTTGCCCCCCTCAACAGCTTGACCTCTTGTTTTAACAGATCGTAAGATGATGCAGGTGCACCATCATGTTTAATTTCACTATCAAGACAAACTTTCACTGTTGCTCTGAGAGTCATGGCTGTATTCATTAGTCGGACACCATTGCAAAACATCTTGCACAGTAACAAAACATTTTGCAACAGAAGCCATTTACTCCAAACGGAAAACATTTTGCAATGAACACAATAGTTTCTTTTAATAAAATTCTGATAAGTCTCTCCCCGTTTCATTCCGTTTGCTTGTATTTGGTTCCTAGTAACATGTCATCACCAAAGCATCAGTTATGTTGACATTCCGAACAGAGGCGTTTGCTGAAAAGTCACAAGATCAAGTAGGTCTAAAATGTACATACATTACTTAGGATGTGAGCAACAGCAACCCACCTGTCTAAGAAAATGTCTGGCAAGGGTGGGTAAGTGCGCATGTCCGGCACCCTCTCGTGCACGATCACCATGACAAAAGAGGTAAATCCGAAAACAAACACCACATAGATGGCACTAAGCGCCGTCTTCCAGTACTCAGGGTCCAGCCTCCTGCTCCCTCCATGCTTGTACTTCCCATTCCTATACTGAAGATACTGCTCTCCAACCGGTGCAGTGTCTATGTTAGAGTTATCACACTCTCTACTGGAGTCCCCATTGCAGTGCCAGTCCCCACCACCACCCTGAGGGGAGTGTCCTTCAAACGGGACCCCCAGCTCCTCCAGGATATCCAGGTTTTGTTTCTGCAGCTTGCGGAGGGACACCATCAGTCTCTTGATGTCCCCCAGCACCTTGAGCTCCAGCGGGGGAGAGCGGAGGTCGTACTCGCTGAGGGTGAGTAAGGACATGCCGTCCAGACGGTGCTTGTTGCACAGTAGGTCTACATAGTGGCAGAAGCCCTCGTCCTTCAGCCACTTGGCTACGTGCTTGGTGGTCCAATGCTGGACGCTCAGCGGGCTACTATTAGACATATCTCCTTCACTCTGAAAACTCTAGAAGACAAAACAAAATGTTTAACCTCCACTCCAAAAACCAAATCACACATGTGCTCAAATTGGTAGAGCATGGCACTTGACAGAGTAAAGAGACTACAGATGTAGGTCCATTATCATTTCTACACAGTTTTGATTTAGTTTTGGGACCGTCAATAAATTACACAACGTACATGAGAAAATATTTTAGTTGTCTCATTAAATGCTTTCAATATTTGTTTATGAATGTCTACGATTTATAGTTGGTTTGAGGTTTTTAAGTCATTGAAATTTGGAGCTATTGAACATTTAAAACATGCACATTGTGAAATTTACTGATGGTCTCTAACTAGCCCCATAGACGGGTTGGTTGTTTAGCAACAAAACCGACGCGTGCACAACTATTGGGTAAAATAGACGGGGTTCGCTTAGATTGTTGACAATGTTTATTGAATACATAAAATTGCACAATGAGCACTTGTTGTCAATCAAACATATTGTTACACAGTTGTTGGTTAGCTAGCTAGTGAATTTTAGCATAGTCAAAACAAGACATGGTATCAAGAACAAGAAAAAAACTAGATGAAATGAGCCACTTAGAATTACCCACATGGCAGCTTATTGTCATTGTTTCTAGCTATCTGAACGTCCAGAACCACAACACATGAACTTCTGCCCCATTGAAGCGTGAGCATGGTTTGTGACGTTCTCAGCAAACCCATCTATAGAATCCGACCCGACTAAGTGAAAAAATATCTGTCGATGTGCCCTTGAGCAAAGCACTTAACCCTAATTGCTCTTAGTGACTAAAATGTAAATGCATTACGATCGGGTCGCATGCAGCTGTGCTCCGAATTGATGATTTCCTGGGTGCTGCCAGCTGTGGGCAGGATTGAAATAAACCCAACCCAAGGAAAACTGTTACTGAACCCTTCTCATTCCGTTTTTTCCCCTATCATCTTGCAAATCTCTGTTTTGGAGGACACTGACTTTATTACCAAAATTATCCTATTTGCACTGTGTAGTCAATTTTGACAGTAGAATAAATGTTTCTGACTCATATCGATGCCACATGGGGCCATTTTCAAAATGAGAAGTAGCTTTTTAAATGGCAGTCGCTCTTTAAGTCTGTCACAGGAGACATGCATATCACACGAAAAGATTTGCACTGTGTGGAATAAAGAAAAGGTCCCTATATCTATTGGAACAGCCAGTACCATTTCAAAAGAGAAAACACTGTCATTACACAAGCCACAGAGAACTAGGCATTCACCATTTCCACTGAATCAGCATTTCAGCAATACTGTCTGGTTCGCTGTCTAGCCAAGCAAGATTTCAACATGAGGCACTGACTTTCCACTGCTTCAAGACAATCTCTCCCTTTCTTCCAGTCTGGTTGTTAAATTGTGGTGACTCAAAGCAGTTTTCCACTGAAACTTGTAAGGACTAAGTCTAGCCTACAGTACACTCTCAGACATAAACCTCTGTATATACCGAGTAATTGTGTAATACAGCCTATTTAATCAGACTACTTGGCAGAGGTCAGTGTTCAGTGTCCCTGGCAAGACAACTGTCCCATGTCATGTCCCCATGCGATGGCATTTCCCCACTCACCTCTTGCAACCATTAAAACGAAATACAGAGAACTAGTGTCGGGTGCCAATAGCACAGTCACTCATTATACTGAACACCACAAGACAGACAGAGAATGATGGTGACATCTCTGGCAATAGCGGAGGAACGCTAAACTCCGTTCTCGAATAACTTATCCGCATCGATATCCGAGAACGGAGTTGAGCGTTCCTCAGCTACTCTGGCAACAGCCTATTGTCTCCAGCAGGCCAGGCAGGGGTTAGTTAGCTAACAGTAGCTAGCTAGTTAGCCTTACACATCTGCACGTTTTTTACTTTCACTAGATAGCTAACTAGCTAGGTAAGTGCACGGGTGACTGATATACCACCAAGCCCAGTTAGCTTGCTGTGTGGATAGCTAGCTACGCAAAACACATTTCAATGCTCAGAATACATTAGCTAGCAGCAACGTGCACATTCTGGCATACCAGCTTGCTAGCATGCAAACGTTAGCCTGATACGTTAGTTAGCAATCTAGCAGTAAATACTCACCAGAATTCAGATTCAACTGTAGGTTAGCTGCCGCGGCGAGTAATATGACTACATGGCATCTCACACGAGTCTGACCAAGCTATATTTACGTTTAGTGCGATAAGAGGATTGAAGCAAATCATTTCGCCCCGCCGCTGGTTAGCATCTGCTTTGCTGTTGACAATAATAGTGAAGGCGCGCCGTAAACACTAGACGAGCCGCGCAATAATAGTGAAAGCGCGCCGTAAACACTAGACGAGCCGCGCACCAGGTAATCTTCTCGTACCGTGTCGAACGTTGCTCATTGCTCGATTTATAGCTACTACACTGACCTCTACTGGTCAAATCAAATCAAATTGTATTTGCCACATGCGCCGAATACAAACAAGTGTAGACATTACCATGAAATGCTTACTTACAGCCCTTAACCAACAATGCATTTATTTCTTAATAAAAAAAGTAAAATAAAACAACAACAACAAAAAAGTGTTGAGAAAAAAAGATCAGAAGTAAAATAAAATAACAGTAGGGAGGCTAGATACAGGGGGGTACCGGTGCAGAGTCAATGTGCGGGGGCACCGGCTATTTGAGGTAGTTGAGGTAATATGTACATGAAATGACAGTATTGGTATGCAAAGACAGTACAGTATGTACTCTGTGGAACTATGCATTGTTTATAACCCATAAAGCAACCTATGACATAATGTCAGCCTAGTCTCATAAACTAGACGTAGCATAGTAAAGGTAAATCCAGGACACTCAATTTAGTATGATATGTTATGTTTGATATGGTTACATAAGACAGAAAGATATGTCTAGCAACCCAAAGGTTGCGTGTTTGGTGTTTTTGGATCTCATCTGTAGCTCAATTGGTAGAGCATGGCGCTTGTAACGCCAGGGTAGTGGGTTCGATCCCCGGGACCACCCATACGTAAAAATGTATGCACACATGACTGTAAGTTGGATAAAAGCATCTGCTAAATGGCATATTATTATTATTATTATTATTATTATTATCACGGACAACTTTAGCATTTTATCTCATTAGCAACTTTGCAACTACTTACTACTTTTTTTTAGCTATTTTGCTACTACTTAGAATGTTAGTTAACCCTTCCCCTAACCCTAACCTTAACCCTTTAACCCAACTCCTAACCTTAACCCTAACCTTAACGCCTAGCCTAGCTAACGTTAGCCACAACAAATTGGAATTCATAATATGTCATACGCTTTGCTATTTTGTAACTATTTGTAAGAATTACAATTCGTAACATATTGTACGAATTGCAATTTGTAACACATCATACTAATTGTAATTCGTAACATATCATACAAAATGGATGATGGACATCCACAAATTAATACATACCACAGGAGATGTAACATATTATATTATTTGGGGGATTTACATTTACTATGTTACGTCTACCTCTGAGTCCAGGTTGCATAATGTAGAATAGATTCAAACTAGGTGATTCACTGTAGCCGACATTAGCTCTATGTAAAGTTGCAAGACACGTAAGATGTAAGACATAGTTCAGTTACACAAACAGACATCAATCAGGTCATTTTAATTTTAGACTGAGGCAAAGGAAGAACACCTGTTCCTGTCACTATACATAGGCATATCTTAAGCCTCAACTAGGCTAATTACCCTCCTACAACATCAGAAAATGAAAAGGAAAGATAGCTGATGTCTCATAAGAGACATTTACACCATACTGTATGTGTGTTCTTGTCTTTCTAACTATGTTCTATTGAATATCATGTAAAGCTGTTTGAGAGGAGAGTTTGCATTGTACTGTATATTACACTACACTGTATCCTGTGCATATGACAAATGCACTTGTATTTGATTTGTATGTTGGCAGTACACTGAAAAAAAGTAATAGTTCTTAAAGGGTTCTTCCTCAGCTCTTAAGGTTCTTTGGATAAATCTTGCCTGATAAAGAACCTTTGAGTTAAGTGTGGGGTTCTTGACGTGGCATCTACGGTTCTTCGGAATTCTGAAAGGTTCTTGAAATGTATGGAAGCCTGCCGATGTGTCCCTTTCATAGCACACAGCAAATTGGCCAGTGTTAACTAGTGTTGATTTTTTCAGTGTAACATTTCTAGTGGTCATTCAATAGGTAAATTAACACTGTAAAGAGTTAAATTAACACTGTGTTGTAAAATAACCCCAGTGTTGTTGTTAACAACCAGAGTTTAACCATTATCATATTTCCCAGCATGCTCTATTGCAGGTTGATTTTTAGAATTGTTTGTTTCAATATCTATGTTTTTGCATGTACGTTGATTGATTAATTAATCTTATGCTACTCAAATATAAATAACATACATTTTTCTAAACTATTCCAATCTGTTACTTGGATTTCTTGCACCCATTAAATGGTTGTTCCGGTTTAGACGTTTAAGGTAATCTCATATCTTAGTCTTCCCAATTCTGGCAGTCATTCTGAATGCAGGTTTTTACATTTACATTTAAGTCATTTAGCAGACGCTCTTATCCAGAGCGACTTACAAATTGGTGCATTCAACTTAGGATAGCCAGTGGGACAACCACTCCTTTTTTCTTTCTTTTTTAATGGGGGGGTGGGGGAGGGGGGGGGTAGAAGGATTACTGTTATACTATTCCAGGTATTCCTTAAAGAGGTGGGGATTCAAGTGAATATAAATTTAAAATGTTGGATTACCCACTCTTGCTGGATTCCAATTAGGAATTACACATCACTTTGCAAGCCCGCATAATGTGACTTGCATGCCTGATGTGGCCTGTAAACCATGACTTTCAGGCCACTGTATTAGGGTAAAACTAGGCCCTCAAAAGAAGGCCTTATGAAATATGTATTGTATTATCTTGAATAATTACATTTTAATAACTATTTACTTATGATCTCACTTGTTGAAGGCCACCGGATTGAAAATTAATGAACGCAACAACCATGTCTCTGTCACTAGCAAACACAGTCTTGGGTGGTACTGGTAACGCAAAAATTCACTCAAAAGGCACCCTGGGAAATATGCAAATACGGCATGAATCCCTACAGCAGGGCTATTCAATTCCGGTCCTGGAGGGCCAAAACATTTCTGGTTTGGGATGTTTGTATGGTTCTTCAAAGAACCATCCCATTTATGGTTCTTCAGAGACCCTAAAATGGTTCCCCCATGGTATCGCTCTCAATAACCTTAGTTGGTTCCAACTTGCACCTTTATTTTTAAGAGTGTAGTCTAGGTGGGTCTCTAAATAATGCTAATTTAACCATTATCCTATTTGTTTAAAATGGAATTTACTGCTACAAAGGCAAATATTAAAATAAAAGCTTATTCCAAATGAAACGAACACCCCCACCTCTCTGTCATGTTATTTTTTTAAATTATCCTTTGTGGCTGCACCCGGGACAGTCCCATATTTCATCCCCTTTTCAAGTTTTTGTTTTTACAAAAAGGTCAATTTGTCAGCAACACGCACCAATTAATTTGGGCTAGAAGAGTGTAGGCCTAATGACAATCGCAGAATTTCACTTTTTTTGTGTTTTCAAACAGATGTCTCTTTCCATTCATTACATTTTAGTCATTTAGCAGACGCTCTTATCCAGAGCGACTTAGTTAGTGAGTGCATACATTTTCATACTGGCCCCCCGTGGGAATCGAACCCACAACCCTGGCGTTGCAAGTGCCATGCTCTACCAACTGTTCATAAAGAATTTTGAGAACCCCCGAATGGCACGTTATAATTCGTACTTTGCTCACATATGGCCTTGTGTCAATTAAGAACAGTTGACTAAATCAGTGGTTCTCAATTCTCTCTTCAGGGACTCCCAGCCATTGCAGGGCTAGCACACCTGATTCAACTTCTCAATTAACACAATAATAACGCCTTAGGAATTGTGACAATATCACATGGCTATCCAGAATAAAAAACCCGGTATGGTTCTTCAAAAGCATCTTTCTAGAACCATTTTCCATAAAGGTTCTAGAAAGAGCCATAGAAAAGGGTTTTATATATAGCCCCCGAAAGGGTTGTAACCGTAGCGGAACCATTTTTTTTGGTGCTAGAGTATATAGAACCTTTTTTTAATGGTTCTTTATAGAACCTTAGGAAAGGGTTCTTTATACTGTAGCACCATACAGGTTCCATTTAGAACCTTAGGAGCAAGGTTCTTTATAGAATCTTTAAAAAAAAGATTCCATATAGCACCAAAAAAGGTTCCGCTATGGTTACAAGCCAAATAACCCTAATTTAAGCCTTCAGAAAGTATTCATACTCCTTGACTTATTCCACATTTTGTTGTGTTACAGCCTAAATTCAAAATTGATTAAAATGATGTTTTTCTCTCACCCATCTACACACAATACCCCATAATGAAAAAGTAAAAATATATATATATTTGAAATGAAATACAGAAACATCTCATTTACGTAAGTATTCACACCCCTAAGTCAATGCTTTGTAGAAGCACCTTTGGCAGTGATTACAGCTGTGAGTCTTTCTGGGTGAGTCTCTAAGAGCTTTCCCACACCTGGATTGTGCAACATTTGCCCATTATTCTTTTCAAAATTCTTCAAACTCTGTCAAATTGGTTGTTGATCATTGTTAGACAACCATAGATTTTCAAGTAGATTTAAATCAAAACTGTAACTTGGCCACTCAGGAACATTCACTGTCTTCTTGGTAAGCAACTCCAGTCTAGAGTTGGCATTGTGTTATAGGTTATTGTCCTGCTGAAAGGTGAATTCATCTCCCGGTGTCTGGTGGAAAGCAGACTGAAGCAGGTTTTGCAGCCACCACTATGCTTGAAAATATGTAGAGTGGTACTCAGTAATGTGTTGTATTGGATTTGCCCCAAACATAACACTTTGTATTCAGGACAAAAAGTTAATTGCTTGCTACTGTCAGGATGTCAGTGTGATGTGGTAGGACGATGTCAGGCGCAGGACACAGAGCTCATCGAAAACGTACTTTACTCGTAGGTAACGTAAATAACATAACCTCCACGCAGGGAGGAAACAAACCCGCTCACCAGACGACAACCAAACATGAACAAACACGCACAACATACAGTGGGAGCCAGAGGGTTAAATAGGGAAGTAATCAATACCTAATGGGAACCAAGTGTGAACAATAAAGACAAGACAAGTAGAACACAGAAACATAGATCGGTAGCAGCTAGTACTCTGGTGACGACGAACGCCGAAGCCTGCCCGAGCAAGGAGGAGGAGCAGCCTCGGCTGAATCCGTGACAGCTACATTTGTTGCAGTATTACTTTATTGCCTTGTTGCAAACAGGATGCATGTTTTGGAATATTATTTTATTCGGTGCCAGGCTTCCTTCTTTTCACTCTGTCTACTAGGTTAGTATTTTGAAGTAACTACAATGTTGTTGATCCATCCTCAGTTTTCTCCTATCACTGCCTTTAAACTCTGTAACTGTTTTAAAGTCACGATTGGCCTCATGGTGAAAACCCTGAGCGGTTTCCTTCCTCTCTGGCAACTGAGTTAGGAAGGACGCCTGTATTTCTGTAGTGACTGGGTGTATTGATACACCATCCAAAGTGTAATTAATAACTTCACCATGCTCAACGGGATATTCAATGTCTGCTTTTAAGTTGTTTACCCATCTACCAATAGGAGCCCTTCTTTGTGAGGATTGGAAAACCTCCCTGGTCTTTGTGGTTGAATCTGTGTTTGAAATTCACTGCTCGACTGAGGGACCTTACAGGTAATTGTATGTGTGGGGTACAGAGATGAGGTAATCATTAAAAAATCATGTTAAAGACAATTATTGCACACAGAGTGAGTCCATGCAACTTATTATGTGACTTGTTAAGCACATTTTTACTCATGAACTTATTTAGGCATGCCATAACAAAGGGGTTGAATACTTATTGACTCATGATATTTCAGCTTTTCACCTTTAATTAATTATGGGTTATTGTGTGTAGGCCAGTGACAAAATATGTCAATTTAATCAATTCTAAATTCAGGCTGTAACACAACAAAACATGGAAAAAGTCAAGGAGTGTGAATACTTTCTGAAGGCACTGTATACAACCTTTTGTTTTTAGTGTGGCGCTTGCAAAGCCAAGGGTTGTGGGTTCGTTTTCCCACAGGGAGCCAGTATGAAAAATGTATGCACTCACTAACTGTAAGTCGCTCTGGATAAGAGCGTCTGCTAAATGACTAAAATGTAAATGTATAATGTAAAATGTACATAAAACACTATGCCATTACATATTTGTAAGTTAACCTTTTCGTTTCGACCCAATAGGCTGCTGGCGTAGCTGTTACTGTCTAAGGTCTTGGCATACTCAGGGGATTGAGGATAACATTGTAGCGAATTAGAAGTGCACCATGACAGGGACTACTTACCACTACAATAATATGGTCATTAATGTATATGCTAAAAAAGCAATGATTTCCTTGTTACTAATTACCAATTCTAAAGTATAGTTTCAGCAGGTCATCTAACCCAGGCATTTCAACAGGGAGCCAAATCCCCTACTTTCATCTTTAAATGTAAAAACTTTATTCTCAAGATGTCTACTTTATTCTCGAAAGTTTGACTTTATTCTCCCAATTTTTTTTTTTGTTGATTCTCAAAATATTTGTTCTCTTGAAGTTGAATATTTTCAGAATATTGCAACTTTATTCACAAAGTGAAATTTCAACTTTATTCTCAAAGTATTACGAGTTTTTGAAGAACTATCCCCATCACCGTTTTGTTTTCTTTTCCTCACTTCGTTTGGCCCTAATGCTCTTCCGTATAATGCACTTTTCACTGGAAATATATATTTTTTGCTTCTTTCTGTATTATATTTGACACATTTACAATAAATAGGCAGCACTGTTACAGCTTTGGCTTTCTGTTCCTGAAATACTATACCAACTCAGTAGGTGGCAGCAGGTAGTCTAGTGGTTAAGCAGGTGAGCCAGCAAACGAAGAGTTGCCATTTCGAATCCAGGGTCTGACGGGAAAAATCTGGTGGGAAGCAAGCTGGCAACCGGAGGGTGGCTGGTATCAAAATCCTAGATGCCATTGCCTGCCATTGTGCCCTTGAGCAAGGCATTTAACCCCCCCCCACAACAACTGTTCCACGGGCACCCAGTGTGTGTGTCTTTTGGAGGTTGGGATTAAGCGGAAGTCAAATTTCGGTTGAACCTTAAAAGTGGACGAATAAAATTATTTTAATCTACTCTACAGTATACTGTAGAAAACATCTTTAACATGTCCATAATGTAAAATCATCAGTGCTTATCAAGGTGCTTCATCTCTGTTTGTGGTTTATTGAATTAAGAGTCTTAGTCTGTGTCCCAAATTGCACACAATTCACTATTCCCTATACACTGCATTACTTCTGAACCCCGGCCCATAGGGTTCTGATCAAAAGTATTCATAGGCAATAGGGTGCCATTCGGTGACGAACACCCAGAGATTGGTGTGAAAGGCACAGCCTCCAGTTTGTGATCCTGCCTTCTGCCTGACTAAGACTACACGCTGGCGTGAGCGCTACACTGGGTAACTGTCCCAGTGAGGGTAAACAAACGCCAGCTCACACATATCGTCTGTAGTGGGAGTATAGAGTGTACTGCTGCTTTAACACATTGAAAACATTGGAGTCGTTGATTTGTATTTGGAGGGGAATTTTGAATTGGATTAATGGCAGCCCTGAAGACCACAAAAGAACCCAGGAAAGAGTACCTATCTGTGAAGGACTTGGAAAAGATTTTGGATTCTTGCAAGCTGCGGTTGACCCAGATAAATGAGGTTTGGCCGAACATATTCATAGGAAATGTGTAAGTATTCATTTGAACAATAATTAATATTAACTCCATTACACTTAGTTTATAGTTCAAGAGTTTGTAAATAAAAATACTCAAGCAGTTATGGTAAATTCTATGTCAATGTCACAGTAAACAGATCAACTGTAACCCAAGGTCATATCATTGGCTACTGCAAACATCTCATGTAATGAAATATATGTATTATTTATTGTTTGTACAGTTTCTGACGAGTTGAAAACTATTTGACTAATTAATTAATTAATGTAGCTAGTGCTGCACTGCATTCACAACAGTTCCGTCTCACCACCTTCTCTCTCTTTGTCTTACCAGGGCAATAGCCCAAAACAGGAGTGCCTTGCAGAAGCTAGGTATCACTCATGTATTAAACGCTGCTCATTCCAAGCGAGGCAGCACAGGGGACCATAGGTTTTATGGAAACGGCTTTGTTTATTATGGTATTCCAGCAGAGGACTCAACTCACTTTGATCTGGATGTTTACTTCAAGCCCGCAGCTGATTTCATTCACAAAGCGTTGAAACAACCAGATGGTAAGACTCCTATTCTAAGTCAAGTGGGGCCAATCAGCAACTGTAACAAAGTGTTTTTCCTGGCTCTGTTTCGGTAAAAAGCTGGAGAAATTGAATCACTCTCTAATATATAGACAGAGCGATGGATGCAAGGACTGACCATCCATGATATCAAAATGATAGTTTTAACCATGTTTTGAGGCTATACAGTGTTTGTTTACATTTACAATGTTTACAAACATTGGAGCAAAACAAGCTTATATTTTAGGTTCTGATGGGGAACGACCGTTGAACTAATCATTTATAAGTTATATTCTTCAAGAATCAATGGTACAGATCTTTAATTTATAAGTCCAAAAATGGATGTAGCAACTTCTGATTTCCCCTTTCATTTTACATTGGATATCTTTACAGGCAGAGTTATGAACACTAAAAAATATAATTTCAAGTTGCCACATTTCGTCTGCTAGGCTTTTACAATCTGGTCTATGCAAAAGCACCGACCTCAACCCATTCCCACAGTACCCAAGCCTGTCCTTGTAACGCACATTAAATAGTTAGTTATACAGTAACTATTTCCAATCCACACAGAAAAAAGAAGAATAAGAAATCTTACCTTGCAGAATGGTACTTTATAAAGTCTAACCATGGATCCTCTCAGAGAGTCTCACCACCAGAGGACAGGCAGAATGGGATTTATGTGACAGCCAAGCAGCCTAGGCCTCTCTCTCTACAAAGGCAACTTAAATGATCAAAGGCAATGAATTATGGAAACTATTTTGAGATCTCTGAGGGGAATAGAAAGGCCACAGTATGAGGCGGGCAGTCATGTATGATATTAATAAGATGGTGGCCTCTCACTAATCCCATCACTTTCTTCTCTCTTCTCATCTCATCTCCCAGGCTGTCATTCTAAATAAGAATTAGTTCTTAATTGACTCGCCTGGATAAACAAAGGTTCAATAAATAAATAAACAATTCTCCTTTCTCCTCTTCAGGGAAGATTCTCGTCCATTGCATTATGGGTATGAGCAGATCGTCTACTTTGGTGTTGGCGTACCTCATGTTGTATTGTCACATCCCCCTCCATTGTGCCCTCCAGAAAGTAATCCAGAAGAGAGCCATTTACCCTAACAGGAACTTCCTGGCACTGCTGCTGGACCTAGAGCTTCAGTTGAAGAGAACAAGGACAACATGGAGAACCTGTCTGATTCTGTAGAGATGAGAACACAGCAAAACGGACCAAATGCCACAAGTTCATATTTTTATCAGTGCACAATGAAGGAGCTTAAAAAGATTAAGTTGATTTTCAAATCAAAGTGGGAATTAATTTATGTAAAATCCCTTTCTTGTGCACAAACTACCTAAAAACAAACAAGTATACCTCACCTACATACGGTATGTTGAATAAAATATGTTGCAAAATGTTTTTGATTTATATTTCATTTGATTGCTAAAGAGCTGATTGTTATTGGCATTATACACGTATGGATGGATGTTTTAAAAGTTTTCAGCGGTGTCATCAAATGAGGTCATTGGTAAACAGAGCTCAGACAACGGCTGTGTCCACACGGTGAAGGAACATCCTTCGTAGAAAGCACGAGCAGTATCTCTAAAGTTATTTTGTCGCTGCCGACAAAACCCAAACAGTGTGTCCTTTCCCACTCTCCATACCTACTGGTAGCTCACATAACCTTGTGGGTATGCAGAAGAGATGCCAGAATTATTTTGAGCTGAGATCATTCAGATGTTAAAATAGAACGAAAGAGATAAGGCAGATGACACTACTAGTACCTACAGCCAATTGTGCTGCTAAAAAACATGTACAAGAGCTCCTGTTTAATGAGATTATAATATGTTTCATGAGCAGTCTGTTGGAAGAATAAGTCATCTCTGCACAATATCAATTTGGCTATACACTGAGTGTACAAAACATTAGGAACACCTTCCTAATATTGAGCTGCACACCTCCTTGTGCCCTCAGAACAGCCTTAATTCGTCGGGGCATGGACTCTACAAGGTGTCGAAAGCGTTCCACAGGGATGCTGGCCCATGTTGACTCCAATGCTTCCCACAGTTATGTGAACTTGGCTGGATGTCCTTTGGGTGGTGGACCTTTCTTGATACACACAGGAAACTGTTGAGCGTGAAAAACCCAGCAGCGTTGCAGTTCTTGACACAATCAAACTGGTGTGCCTGGCACCTACTGCCATGCCCCTTTCAAAGGCATTTAAATATTTTGTCTTGCCTATTCACCCTCTGAATGGCACACATACACAATCCATGTCTCAGTCGTCTCAAGGCTTAAAAATCATTATTTAACCTGTCTCTTCCCCTTCATCTACACTGATTGAAGTAGATTTAACAAGTGACATCAATAAGGGATCATAGCTTTTACCTGGTCAGTCTATGTCATGGAAAGAGCAGGTGTTCATAATGTTTTGTACACTAAATATATATCAGTGTATGTCATGGAAAGAGCAGGTGTTCATAATGTTTTGTACACTAAATATATATCAGTGTATGTCATGGAAAGAGCAGGTGTTCATAATGTTTTGTACACTAAATATATATCAGTGTATGTCATGGAAAGAGCAGGTGTTCATAATGTTTTGTAAACTAAGTATATATCAGTGTATGTCATGGAAAGAGCAGGTGTTCATAATGTTTTGTACAATAAATATATATCAGTGTATGTCATGGAAAGAGCAGGTGTTCATAATGTTTTGTAAACTAAGTATATATCAGTGTATGTCATGGAAAGAGCAGGTGTTCATAATGTTTTGTACACTAAATATATATCAGTGTATGTCATGGAAAGAGCAGGTGTTCATAATGTTTTGTAAACTAAGTATATATCAGTGTATGTCATGGAAAGAGCAGGTGTTCATAATGTTTTTGTACACTAAATATATATCAGTGTATGTCATGGAAAGAGCAGGTGTTCATAAGTTTTTTGTAAACTAAGTATATATCAGTGTATGTCATGGAAAGAGCAGGTGTTCATAATGTTTTGTAAACTAAGTATATACAGTGTAGGTCATGGAAAGAGCAGGTGTTCATAATGTTTTGTAAACTAAGTATATATCAGTGTATGTCATGGAAAGAGTAGGTGTTCATAATGTTTGTAAACTAAGTATTATCAGTGTATGGTCATGGAAAGAGCAGGTGTTCATAATTTTTTGTAAACTAAGTATATATCAGTGTATGTCATGGAAAGAGCAGGTGTTCATAATGTTTGTAAACTAAGTATATATCAGTGTATGTCATGGAAAGAGCAGGTGTTCATAATGTTTTGTAAACTAAGTATATATCAGTGTATGTCATGGAAAGAGCAGGTGTTCATAATGTTTTGTAAACTAAGTATATATCAGTGTATGTCATGGAAAGAGCAGGTGTTCATAATGTTTTGTAAACTAAGTATATATCAGTGTAGGTCATGGAAAGAGCAGGTGTTCATGATGTTTTGTAAACTAAGTATATATCAGTGTAGGTCATGGAAAGAGCAGGTGTTCATAATGTTTTGTAAACTAAGTATATATCAGTGTATGTCATGGAAAGAGCAGGTGTTCATAATGTTTTGTAAACTAAGTATATATCAGTGTATGTCATGGAAAGAGCAGGTGTTCATAATGTTTTGTAAACTAAATATATATCAGTGTATGTCATGGAAAGAGCAGGTGTTCATAATGTTTTGTAAACTAAGTATATATCAGTGTAGGTACAGTATCTGACACATTATAATATATAACATGAATATAACATGTTATATAATGTATAATGTGTGTCTAGTCTGATTTACTGATGTACTGTATGTGGTGCATTGCATGGATAATTCCTCATTCCTCTGTTGTCAGGTGCTTTAAAACAATTTATTTTTTAAAAGAACAAATGCCCCAAAGCAAAGGAGGAACTGTAATTCATGAATCCTGCAAGAGGAGGGAGGCTAGAGGTGAGAGGAGGTAAAAAGCTATTTTGATTTGCCCTCTGTGTTAACCATCGGGACTTTCCCGCGCACAGCATCTTTAATTACAGGAGGAGCAGCAAGGGTTATCCTGAGGGTTATGGCTTATGATAGAGAAATTAACATTCAATACTCTGGCAACAGCTCTGGTGGACATTCCTGCAGTCAGCATACCAATTACATGCTCCCTCAAAACTTGAGACATCTGTGGCATTGTTGTGAACAAAACGGCACATTTTAGAATGGTCTTTTATTGTCCCCAGCACAAGGTGCACCTGTGTAATGATCATGATATTTAATCAGCTTCTTGATATGCCAAACCTGTCAAATTGTCACGTTCGTTGAAGGACGGGGCAGACCAAGGCGCAGCGTGAAATGCATACAGTGATGGAAAAAAGTATTTGATCCCCTGCTGATTTTGTACGTTTGCCCACTGACAAAGACATGATCAGTCTATAATTTTAATGGTAGGTTTATTTGAACAGTGAGAGACAGAATAACAACAAAAAAATCCAGAAAAACGGATGTCAAATGTTATAAATTGATTTGCATTTTAATGAGGGAAATAAGTATTTGACCCCCTCTCAATCAGAAAGATTTCTGGCTCCCAGGCATCTTTTATACAGGTAACGAGCTGAGATTAGGAGCACACTCTTAAAGGGAGTGCTCCTAATCTCATCTTGTTACCTGTATAAAAGACACCTGTCCACAGAAGCAATCAATCAATCAGATTCCAAACTCTCCACCATGGCCAAGACCAAAGAGCTCCCCAAGGATGTCAGGGACAAGATTGTAGACCTACACAAGGCTGGAATGGGCTACAAGACCATCGCCAAGCAGCTTGGTGAGAAGGTGACAACAGTTGGTGCGATTATTCACAAATGGATGAAACACAAAAGACTTGTCAATCTCCCTCGGCCTGGGGCTCCATGCAAAATCTCACCTCGTGGAGTGGCAATGATCATGAGAACGGTGAGGAATCAGCCCAGAACTACACGGGAGGATCTTGTCAATGATCTCAAGGCAGCTGGGACCATAGTCACCAAGAAAACAATTGGTAACACACTACGCCGTGAAGGACTGAAATCCTGCAGCGCCCGCAAGGTCCCCCTGCTCAAGAAAGCACATATACAGGCCCGTCTGAAGTTCGCCAATGAACATCTGAATGATTCAGAGGAGCACTGGGTGAAAGTGGTGGTCAGATGAGACCAAAATCGAGCTCTTTGGCATCAACTCAACTCGCCGTGTTTGGAGGAGGAGGAATGCTGCCTATGACCCCAAGAACACCATCCCCACCGTCAAACATGGAGGTGGAAACATTATGCTTTGGGGGTGGTTTTCTGCTAAGGGGACAGGACAACTTCACCGCATCAAAGGGACGATGGACGGGGCCATGTACCGTCAAATCTTGGGTGAGAACCTCCTTCCCTCAGCCAGGGCATTGAAAATGGGTCGTGGATGGGTATTCCAGCATGACAATGACCCAAAACACACAGCCAAGGCAACAAAGGAGAGGCTCAAGAAGAAGCACATTAAGGTCCTGGAGTGGCCTAGCCAGTCTCCAGACCGTAATCCCATAGAAAATCTGTGGAGGGAGCTGAAGGTTCGAGTTACCAAACGTCAGCCTCGAAACCTTAATGACTTGGAGAAGATCTGCAAAGAGGAGTGGGACAAAATCCCTCCTGAGATGTGTGCAAACCTGGTGGCCAACTACAAGAAACGTCTGTCCTCTGTGATTGACAACAAGGGGTTTGCCACCAAGTACTAAGTAATGTTTTGCAGAGGGGTCAAATACTTATTTCCCTCATTAAAATGCAAATCAATTTATAACATTTTTGACATGCGTTTTTCTGGATTTTGTTGTTGTTATTCTGTCTCTCACTGTTCAAATAAACCTACCATTAAAATTATAGACTGATCATTTCTTTGTCAGTGGGCAAACGTACAAAATCAGCAGGGGATAAAATACTATTTTCCCTCACTGTATATGTTTATTTAACAGAATAAACATACAAAACAACAAAAGGCAACGAACCGTGACGTCGGAAGGCTGTACACTCTAACAAGCCAACTCACCGAACACAAACAAGATCCCACAACACAGGCATCAAAACTGGCTGCTTAAGTATGATCCCCAATCAGAGACTCTGATTGGGAATCACACCCGGTCAAACATAGACATACAAAACCTAGATCTAAACCTAGATCTACCATAACATCGAACTAATCATGCACACCCTGACCAAACTAACTAG